AGCCAAAAGATGTGGATTACCGTAATACAGACAAATGCCCCGAGGGTTCCCTCGGCCCTGAAGGTAAGAAGAAGATGTAGATCAAGGTGATCTTTGGTGGAGCAAAAACAGGGGATACTTCGGCCGAACGAAACAAGTTTGAGCAGGCCGTGTATGTGGGTTCCATATCTGCCCCTCCCGTGAAGAGAAACAAGATTGAGGACAACACCTTTGGGCCGGCTGAATCTAAGTGCACCATCAACATGCCCGGACATCTCCTCGGAGGATGCTCCACCCCTCGCAAACGGTAGACGGCCGGTGCAGGCAGATATAATCGCAATTCTCGCAGAGCCTTGTCATAAAAAGATTGCTCGCATCCATGGGCATTCTGTAGCGGCACCACATGGCGTGGAATGTCCTGAGGGATGCAGAGTTCAAAGATGGTCAGCCGTCGTCATCATAGGCTTCGTCACCCGAATCAGCATCTTCAGGTTGGATTCAGCGGCATTGTCCTGGGCGGCCTCTTCCTGGACGATGATGATGTTGTCTCCGTCATGATCATGGGAAACAACATCCCCATTCGCGACATCAGGAATGATTACTACGGTCATGGCCGAGGAACCAGAACTGCCAGACGAACTCGTCTCTCCGGACGATCAGGATTCCGAACCAGATTAAGAGGATGAACGAGAGTTCGTGGCTATCTCCATAGAATCCGCCATTGAAAAAACCAAAGAAAGAGCAAAGAAGAGGACAAGGAAGGAAATTACCTTTAAAAAATTTGAAAAGGAGATAACTGATAGTCACGGGATCCGAATGGGAGAACTACGAATACTCTAAAGCGGATGAGCGAAATTTGGAAACCCTGAACCATCCAAGGGACCTGGTATTTATAGGGGACTACATTATCTAGCGAACCAATGAGAGTGCGACACGTGGCGAGGAGCGTACCCCAAGACATGTGTCGTGCGGAGCCCAACATACGTGATGATTACGCTTACCTCGGAAGTTGAACCGGCCGCCGTAATTGTCACCTAGGGTTTTCAGGAGGCCGCCTAATAACCGTCACATCGGAGCATCGGGAAGGCTCGTCTCAGAGAAAGCCTCATACTTCTGTATGCTCCGCGCACGCTCAGAACATCAGAAGTGGAGGACTTGTGTTGGGTTAATGGGTCCGATAATGGAACGAACCATCATCCCTTGTCAAAGGCACCGTTAAAGCCCAGTTCGGGCATAATCCAGCATGGTATATAGCTAGACGTTCGTCTCCACAGAGCGGACGGGCGGCTTCAGCACCCATGCCCCAGTGAACCATGTGATGACCCAAGGGCCAGGGAGAGGATGATGAGCACGGGTTGAGCGGATTCAACAACCTTATGCTCATATGCACCCATAACTCAACGATAAGGGGACACCCGTCTAGACCTCTTGGCGGAAAACCAAGGTATTGGCGGTAAGCGCATTTAATGTAGTAGATTTGGTGGTTGAGAAGCTAGCCATTCACAGTCATCCATTTCATCGACATCATCTACCTATTGGTAGTATAAATAGTACTCCCTCCGTCCTAATTTACTTAGCCAAACTTGACTTTCCAAGTCAACAACGTTTAACTTTGATCGATTATATGTTTATATAGAGAAAGTATTGATAATATGAAAATGATATGAAAATGTTCTTTGTTAAAAACACTATCATAAAAGTATAAAATTATTAAATTTTGCATAAATATATTAGCTTAAATAATTGGTCAAAGTTAGACGTCGTTGACTTGAAAAGTCAAGTTTGGCTAAGTAAATTGGGACGGAGGTAGTAACATTTATTTCATTGTAAGGGGTTGACAAGTTTTTCCCTCTAGCAATAGCAATTATATCTAACACTTCTCATTTAGATAGATGAACGGTCTCGGGGCTTGTAGTTAAAGTGTGTTGTATACGAACCCTTATTAACATTTAACAAGGTACCACCCACTTACTACTCTTGTTATTTACCCATCTTTACTTATTTGCAACATAGAATCCACTAAACACTCCATTCAAAATCCATAGGGAAGTGTTGGGCCTTTGGATTGAAGGAGTAAACCTCAACAAACTCTATACATATATAGACACACAAACATTTATGTATACACGAGTATATACGTCATTGAACGGGCTAAACTCGCAAGTGTCCAAGTACTGAGTTTAGTTGTTTAATTTACACAAGTATAAAAAATTCCAGTAAAATACCAGGTCGAATTCACGGGGAAACATATTTTAATTTAAGTTCGAGAGTAGAAAACTGTAAATATGGATATGAGTAAAGTGCAGAGATTTTGTTTTGAGAATAATAACTTGGTTTTTCTCTTTAATTTCATGGATATAACCTTAGATAATTTGAGTTTAAGATAATTGATGATAATAACTAATGCTCCGGAAATCACCTAAACACTTTTAAGGCAATGGGAGCATGGTTTTGATTACATGTAAGTCCCGTTACGACTTACATTCATCTACCGAAAACCCCGTTGAATATTGAGACAACACACATATCATATAAGACCGAATATATTTCTATTCTCAGTTCTATATATGTTTATCTTTTAAGTTCACAATTTATTCCTCAATCTTTTCATTGAAAGCATAAACTAAGATTAATATACTTCCATGTTGATCACCATATTAATACACAACTAAATTACAAAGAATAAATCACAATTTATTGGTTGAGAAATTTAATCAAACACCTAGTATGCATAAAGGTTCATCCCTAGCATTAGCTGAGAAATTAGCCTCTTGAGCTCATACTAATTACAACATGGTAATTAATATTAAGGGAATACAATAACATACAAGAAATATAACCTAGAACCAATTGTAGAGGAGGGGAACGACTTCTTATCTAACTCTTCAAGAGAATGCAAAAATAAAATATAAAAACTAAAATTTAAACTCTAAAGATGGATTAACGATCTTGTTTGATGAATTAAGGGCTTAATAGAGGCTAAAGAATGACATCTTTTAGTCTATTTGAGCCCAACAATTAGGCATGGAAGAAATATTTGATCAACTCATAAGGAAGATGAAGTTTTCCCATCAAGAATAGGTTGCACGTCTTCATGTTTTGTGCAGAATCAAACCAAACTGGCGCCAGTTGCAGCCTGAACCGATGTCGGTTATCCTTCGGCACTACATTTCCATTTAATAAACACGTATCGGCACCGGTTAGGTCATGGGACCAACGCCAGTTTGAGTACGGGATTCCGATTTATTAACAAAATAAATGCAACCGGCGCCGGTTAGGTCATTGGACCGGCGTCGGTTCTCCCCTTTTGTGGAATTTTGACTTTTAGCTCCATTTTGACACCCGTAGTTTACTTCAAAGTGCCATTTCTTGGTCCTCTTTGACTGTTGACTCTTGTTTCTTCACTCTTGACTGCCTTTGCGTGTTTTCGCTCAAATTGGGATTTTTACCTGTTGTTTTCTTTGAACATTTGTACAAATAATTATAAATAACTATATAAATTATAGGTAACTATCGCGCTTATGGGATAGTATATAATACGTGGGGGCATACTCCATACCCCTACCCCTTATCACCCATATGCGTACTCTTACCCCCACCCTAATCGTCCCTGTATCCCTTACCCCCACCACACTCTACCCCCTACCCCTAACTTGTAGAGTAGGGAGGGGGTATGGGTATGGGTAGGCACATGTCAGGGTAGTTAGGGTATGGTCGAGGGGTAGGGGGCATGAGGGGTCGGGGGTAGGAGACGAGTTAGGGGCAATGTCGGGGTAGGGGTATATGTTACATGAAGACATGTTGGGGTAAGGGTAAGGTATGATCGGGTAAGGGGTAATGGTAGCATAACCTAGGAGTAGGAGGTTAGGGGTACACGTACGGGTAGGGTTGGGTAGGTTGCGGGTAGGGTACGAGTAGGGACATACTTGAGGGTGTTGGGGGTGGGGGTCCGTGTATGCTAGGGGTAGGGGTATGGGGTATGGGGTAGGGTAGGGATAATAGTCCGTGGTAAGGGCAAGGGTAAGCCGTAAGCATAAGGGTAAATGCAGACGGTAGAAACTAAATAAACTTAAACTGCCGTTTAATTAATACATATGAGTGATATGTTTAGTAAGGAACATTTTAAGCACTCGTATGTGTTAGGATGTTTTTACTTAATCTGAAACTTGCTGGTCTGGTCCGGTCCGGTAAATGCCTGATCTCTGTATATTTTATAACTATGAAAGTCTGTTCTAATCTGGTTTATTCAAGTTTGACTTGATCTAGTCTGGTTGGTGTGGGTATATACTTTTTTTAAGAAAGGTAAGTTTATTTTTCGCCTGTTTGGGAATGTAACCTTAAGCCCTTGGAGTTAGGGCTGTCAATATCACCCGCGCTCGCGGATACCCGATCAACCCAAACCGAAAATATGGACGAAAACTCGAAGAAATGTGGATGCAAAATGGATGACGGGTGGATTGAAAGACGAGTTGGATCGGGTGTGGATGAACACTCATCCAACCCATCACTCGACCCGTCACCCCCGCTCTATCCATCCGCACCCGCTGACCTGCATATAAATGTATATCCATATATTATAATATCTATTTAATAATATATATTAATAATAATGATTAATATTAATATTTTAACGGATACTACGTAACTACGGAGTAGCATTGTAGCAACTAAAATACTAAAATAGGAGCCCAACCCTAATCCAGTTGAACTACAAAAATAGTTTTGTGTTGATGCAGAAATGTAGAATTGACAACTTAAAGAATTTCTTTATCTATTTTGTTTGACAATTAGTTTTTTGTTTATCATCGGCAGTAAATTAATGATTGTAATATACTTAATTGCGCAAGTTTTTGTAGTTATTTTTCAATGAATTCTTAATCTTTGTCATGTTTTCTCTTTGTAATTTATTTATTTTGTTTTTCAAATTTGACATTTTGTATTCACCCCTTACTCACCCCGATCTACACGGTAACCCGTTTATGATGAATGAGTTAGATGTGAATGTAAATTTCAATGGACGATGAATAGTGAGAGTGGAACCTTACAAAAAAAACTGTGACCATGCATGAGCCATCCCCACTTCCGACTTCCAGCCTTAAACCCTAAGCCGCCATTTATCTATCCACTAAAGTCCTAACTGAACCCAGTCGAAGATGAATTCGGAGGTTCTAAATTCCACCACCAGCCCAGATCTGGAGAAGCGCGCAACTAAGATAATGTTTGAATGCAAAGACGACAAGAAGTTGCAGCAGCAGCGGCCGTACAAGGACGAGGCTCTAACAGAGAGCTCGAATGTAGAGGTTGAGGAGGACACGGCCATGTGTGACCCCTTAGCCGACGAGGACTACATGTCCGCCGAGGATAAGACCAGCGCCGATTATTATTTCGACTCTTACTCCCACTTTGGTAGTTTCTATTCACGTGTTGCCCTTTTGTTACTCATTTCTCAGTTTCTTTTAAACTCTCGTTTTATTTATTTCTTCACATTTATGTGTCTTTGGGAAGGAAGAACCGAAGAAGTATACTGAAGTTTACCTTAAATGTTTTCTTTTGTGTCAACAAAATATACTATGCCCTACATCTGTTAAGTAATCTTGTAAATTTTTATCTTTTAGCAGTCAAAGTTATATACTTGCAGAAAGGTTTGCCCTTTGTTGATTTCTTGTGGTGTCTGTTAGTGGACAAAGCAGATGCAGTATAACTATGATCAACGTATATAGGGATAGCTATCAGACAAGCTAACTAGATCAAATAGTTAGTTTAGTCTCTGAACTCCAAAAAGCACTAATTGAACCCTTCAACCCCCAAAATATGGTGCAATTTCCTTTTTTACTGTTTTCCAACAGGCACAAACCCTATTTCTTTAATGTCTTGATCCTTATTTGGCACTGAACCAGTCCTTAAAGTCAGAGTTTATAACTCGATGCTAAATTATTACTCCCAAGTCCCAATTAATTATGATAGTAATGATATACTGTAATTAGTATATGTACTTCATCCCCAATGGTTTTATTTCCCATAGGAAATATTATAAACTACACTGCCTTGAGACCATTTTTGGTAGGTGCGTGACGGCCGACAATATAACTTAGTTACATCACATTACATAAACTGGAATATGAATGCTGCAATTTCATATATCTATTCATGTTAGACCACGTCAAACTCTTTTGGGACTAAGGTTTGAATGTTGTTGTTGTAGAAAAGATTATAAACAATAGTGTATGTGTGTATATCTACATGTGTACATATATGTGTGGGGCAGGGGTCAAGAGGGGGATTACTCATGAATGAGTATAAGAGTGTTAAGTTCCCAATAGATGACCATAGTAGTTTTAAACCATTTGTATGACTAAAAAGGATTTAAAATACCCGTGTAAAAGTGTTGTCAATGAAAAACAAAGACATGTGTATAAATTTAAAACTCTCACATGGCATGCATACATCAATTCACCATCATATTAGGAAAAGTGATAATGGTCATATATGTTGAGAAATTGGGAATCTTTTTGTCATATACTCCCCTTGTCCCTTAAAACTTGGTCAAGTTTGACCAGCACGGGGATTAATAAAGTAAGAACTGTGTGGCTGAGGTTTGTGCAGAGGAGAACAAATTCACTAGAATCACAAATTCTTTACTTAAAAGGGAAAGTGGCAAAGTTAGTGGGACAACCAAAAAAGGAAAGTTGTCAAAGTTTTAAGGGACGGATGTAGTATGTGATAATTTTCTCATATATATATGTATGTATATGTTGCACTGTTCAATGTTTTTGGAACATAACATATATCGTAGACTCCGCATCAGCTTTTGTTGTTCAATTATAGGCTTTGCTGATGACGATATTCATATTTTATTACATATCATCCCTCGCTAATAATATGATGCCATATGGTTTGAGGTTTTACCAGCAAAGTAACAATGATGAATCGCTTCTTTGCATCATGCTATTCAACTTAATTCATTCTTGTTTGAAGGACTAATGATGGTTCCTCTTCTACTTGTTGTTTGCTTTTTGGCAGGGATTCATGAAGTAAGTAATCATCATTGGGCATCGATTATATAATGTGCTGTGGTTTGTGAAATTGGTACTATCATCTTCGTTTTTTCTAATGGTTGGGGTGTAGTGTGGGCATATTCATTCAATGAATGCACATGTCTTGGTCAGCAGTGTACTTCGAAAACCAAGCAGTGATGATTGTAAAATTAATACAGAAAAACATTTTTATTAATTTCTCCAGCCCTTTTTATTGGCATCATTTAATTGACTTTCCCTTTAATATCTGTGCTTACTCTCTTAGTAACTTTTTTATTACTCCGTATTATTCAAGGAAATGTTGAAGGATGTAGTGAGAACCAAAACATACCAAAATGTCATCGATAAGAATCCATTTCTGTTCAAAGACAAAGTGGTCCTTGATGTGGGTGCTGGGACTGGGATCCTTTCTCTGTTTTGTGCAAAAGTTGGTGCTAAACACATTTATGCGGTATGCATCTGATTCCTACTAAGAAATTACATCTGTGAGCTGTACTTTCATAAATCTTTATCTGTCTCTTTTTGTTTGGTCTGTGTCTCATTGCAAAAGCTAGTTTGGCTAATGGCTCTGTGAGTTATGTAACGAACAAATGCAGGTTGTTTCACCTGAAAGAATGCATGTGTTTCATATTTCAGGTTGAATGCTCTAGCATGGCTGGCATGGCACAAGAAATTGTGAAGTTAAATGGTTTCTCTGATGGTGATGCTCAAGTTAGCTTTTAATATTATGATGTTTCATGTATTACTGGCATACCAGTTATCATACTTTGTCAGCTTACTCAGGCATACCAACTCTCTCATACTATTTTGCTTTCAGTAATAACTGTTATCAAGGGAAAGATTGAAGAAATTGAACTTCCTGTTGCTCAAGTGGATATAATAATCTCTGAGTGGATGGGATATTTTCTTCTATATGAGAACATGTTAAATACAGTACTCTATGCCCGCAATAAGTGGCTTGTAAGTTTCTTTTAATGCATTGCTTTGTTATTAATGATGATTCCTATAGTATGGACGTTTTCTGTGTAAGCTTTGCTGCATAGGGCAGTTTTAGTGTTTTATATTAGTGAGGCCTTATCATCTTCTATTGCTGCAGGTAAAAGATGGGCTTGTGCTTCCAGATAAGGCTTCTCTGTATTTGACGGCTATTGAAGATGCTGACTACAAAGAGGACAAGATTGAATGTGATCTATTTCTTCTCGTGCTTTCAAGTTTTGAGTTTCAAGTGATTTGAGTAATAAAATTTGATTGGTTTAAGTTTCCCGGAATAACGTATGAGGCTGAGCTTTTTTAAACCATATTCCACTTCACAAAAAAGTCTTATCTCAAGTTTTATTTTTTGTCCCAAAATAGAGCTCATTTGGCATTTAAATTTCCTAAAAAAGTTGCAAACAAGTTGAATATAAGTTCATTATTAGTGAAACAACAATTTTTTTAATATATGCAAGATTTCATGATTATAAATAGTTGTACCTTACTAAAAGTTGAAAGTTATTCTGTTAATAGATTTTTAAGTGTGACAGAGGTAGTAGTTTATAGTCTACACTCACCACTATTACAAATATTGGAATTTGCAGTTTGGAACAGTGTGTATGGTTTTGATATGAGTTGCATAAGGAAGCAGGCAATATCAGAACCTCTTGTTGACACAGTAGATAAGAATCAAATTGTAACAAACTGCCAGTTACTCAAGGTAGAGAGACTGTCTTTAGTTTATGATCAAATTATTTATATTTTTCCTATATGTTAGAAGTGCGTTAACACATCTGTTATCTGTTGGCTAAGATATTTCTTCTTCTTCTTCATCTATATTCTAGACGATGGACATCTCTAAGATGGGTGCAGGAGATGAATCCTTCACTGCTCCGTTTAAGCTCGTTGCGGAGCGCGATGATTACATACATGCACTTGTAGCATATTTTGATGTATCATTCACCAAGTGTCATAAGTTAATGGGCTTTTCTACAGGTCATGTTCATACATAATTAAACTTTTCTGCTGGTGTGACTTCTTTTTGTTCTTGGCACACACACACGTATGTATACACACACTCACATGCTCAAAGTCCCATTCTATTGAGAAAACGGATGGTAGAAAACTAGAAATGAACCAGATCCATGGTGCATAAAAGACACGTTCTGCCTGGGTGCATAAATAAGTAATAATTGCTGAAGGGTGGGTGGTGTTTTGATGTGCAGGGCCAAAGTCACGAACCACACATTGGAAGCAAACAGTTCTCTACCTGGAGGATGTCCTAACCATATGCCAAGGGGAGACCATTGTCGGAAACATGGCGGTTACACAGAACAAGAAAAATCATCGGGATCTAGATATAACCATCAACTACTCTCTACAAGGAAAGCGTTGCCTTGTATCAAGAACTCAACATTACAAGATGCGGTGATGCCACCTTTTGTCATGTGTCATGTTGTTAGGTGAGCTGCTCATCATCTTTTGATGCAGCTATCTCTTATCTAATACTCTCTTCATTTCCTTTAAATTGTCTTTGTAATGTGTTTTTTCTCCTCTAGCCGTGCACTGAGTGTTTGTACTTTGTTGTGGTTATTCTAGCTGAAATGGCAGAGTTCTAAATCTAATACAATTGTTGAGACACAACATACTTTGATCTTCATTCCTGGTGATTTTGCACTAATTTTTATCAAAATTTTGTGCTTTATGTGCTCAACATTGGTGATAAAAGTTCACAATGCAAAACTCGGTAGAGTTTCTTTTAATGTTCTACCATACTTAGGGTTGGACTCGGGCCGGGTGGCCCGACCCGGAACCGGCCTGGGACCGATACTGTTCCGGCCCGGCCCGAACCGATGGCCCGGTCAGTGACCGGTCCGGGTAGGCCCGACCCGGTGGGTTTCCAGTCTGGGCTCGGGTCACCCATAACAAGGCCCGGCCCGGCTGGGCCTGGGCCCGGTTCAGGTCAAATTATTTTTTTTTGGTTTTTTTCATTTGTTTGGGCTCCACCGGGTTGGGCTTGATGTTTAGGAGGGGTTTGGGGGGGTGGGGGGTGAGGGGGGGTCAGGGATTGGTAGCTAAGCAAAAAAAAAAAAAAACCAAACCCGAGGCCCGGACCCGGACTGGACCTGGTGGCTACCCGGTCTGGTCCCGGGTCCAGCTATATAGAACCGCCGGCCCGGCCTGGGCCCGACCCGGCCCGAGTCCAACCCTTGTCCATACTTGAATATGATCAGAGCGTACTAGTGTTTCCATGTTTGAAGTTTTCTGCACAAGATGGTGTTCTTGTACCATATTTTTTTGGGAAAAGTGTCAAGTACGCCCTCTTATTACTTCGAAAATGTCAATCAAGGCTCCGACCTCAACTATCACTCAATCAAACCCATGAATTCTACAAAAACATGCAATTTAGCTTTTTTGCCGGTAGAGACTAAAGAATGGGTGATTCGGGTAGTGTTGACATGGCACCCATAAGTACAAAATATCTAATGACACATCAGCAACACTCCAGAAGGTCCTGTTCGTCCTCCACAATAGGCAGAAGTCTAAAACAAGAAAAAGAATAAGAGGAGGAGGCCTCTGATGGGGGGCGCCGGGATGAGCAAGGCCCGTTTCAAGCTCCATCATCACCGCTGGAGAGAAAAATAAAGCCACATCATATGCTAAACCGGCACACTTTACCTGGAATCGGGAGCTTACCGGCTGAAAAGCCAATTCGATTTTTTTATGAGTTCATGAGTTTAATTGGATGATAATTGAGTTGGAAGATTTAATTGACATTTTCAAAATAGTAGGGAGCTCATTTGACACTTTTCCCTATTTTTATTTGATAATTTAGAATTGCTGGAAAAAAATGAGATTGAACTCATTTCCAAGATTCATATATATGCGAATTATATGAATCTTGTTAGGTATAGAACCTACGTCCCTAAGATATTTGTGAGAACAATTGATCTTCCCGGTTACCAGCAACCGCAAGTACCAAGTAGCTTGACTTACATAACATCAGTTTGACCAAGGCATGACAATGAAATAGAACATACTGAGCGTGAACCACCAAACCTGCCTGGCCTTACTAGCTTAGCTGCTTGTCTAGTCAATCTCCATCCCCAGCTTCACCAAAGGCTTGATTATGTGGTATCTTAAAAACGAACTGATTTTAGAGACTGCAGAAAACCCCACTAGTTGGTGTGGCCTCCCCAATGGTCTGCATACCCATCTATTATTATCTACTCCCTCCGTTCCAATTTGTTTTGCGAAATTTTCTTTTTTGGATGTCTCAAAATGTTTTTCCACTTTCTATTTTAAATAAAAATTAATGAATAAATGACACATATGCCCTTACGCCTTCTCTCCCCATTTAACATATTATTAGACGCACCTCAATCTGTAGCCGCGATGCCCCGTATGAAAACAGAAAATGTCTAGATGAGGTGTCGAGTCATGACTATACTCCCAATATCTTACAATTTTTTTGAAGGGTATTGATGCTCACACAAATATACTCTCCATATCTTAGCTTTATTTCTTCGATGTGTTGCTCTTATTTGGACTAATTGTTTTGTGTATTTTGGACCAACAATGTTATAGGGTTAAAACAAAGAAAAAGGTTATCAGATCACAATGCATTTTAGAAAGATTCAATGATTACTTATCATGAAGGTTCTCCAATGAAAATTCAAAGTCATGAAAAACTAGAGGACTAGGGGTAGAGAATAAGCAACAAAGGACTTGGACAAGTTGTTTTAGGGATGAAAGGATAGTGTAATGGATTTCCGAAGCTGTTACTGACTTGAAGAATAAAATTTACAACTATAACTACATCGATAATGACCTTACCGAAGCTGTTACATGGTATTTCGACGTGGTTACTTATATCTCATTCACATGGCTTTGGTACATAACATTTTTTAATAAATTTGTATACCTAATATTATACTTAATTTCACAATAGAAGCTGAAGTCTATGTGTAACACCCTCACCCTTCACAAAACGAGGTTAGGCCCCTGTCAACGTGTCGGGTATGGGTCAGAATGTATTGTTTCAGACATCAACCCGCTACAGTCTATGTCAATCTTGACCTGAACCATATACTAGGTGGGTCTATAACCAGTGTTTCAGATTCATACTCATCGGGTCAGGTGGAACTGTCTTATATGCGCCGACAAGAATCCCACTCCAAATTTCCTCAAAGTAAAAAATAAGATCTCTAACGATAAAAAAGAGTTTTTCCCTTAAATAATATTAAAATAAAACTTGTGGATAAAAATGTGACTAAAGTGACTATAGATATTCTTGCATACATAGTATTAGTAATGTTGTATTTGTATTTGTAAAATATACATATACCCCTACACATTAACATGCATGAATCATATAGTAGGTTTCTTCATATGCACTGATAAAGTTAAAATCACAAAAAAAAATGTGTGGAGAACATCGACGCCTTAGGCAACCGATTAAGTGTTCTGGGCAGGCAACTAGGCACTCGAGGCGGCCAGATAATTCACTTAGACTCAAAATCAATTAGTCCGAGCGTCTAGACTAAAATCAAGGCGCCCGACCACCGTCTAGCGCCTGGGCAGGGACTAGTCACCTGGGGCGCCTGGAGCGACTTTGTAATAGCTTTAGTGATTTAATATGTGCTAATTTTGTATTTAGGCTGATTACTACTTTGTAATACGTAGGCTAAACTCCCTTACATATATAAGAAGTGTAGCCTAACGTAAATCCTAAGAATCGTAGGCATAACGTAGGCATTCATGCATAATGAGAGAAACGAGAGAGTCGCTGCCCGTATTGAATCCACTGTTCATCAATGTAATATCATTTTGGTATACTATACACCGATTCTTCCTCTATTCTTCCTTTCATTAACTGTGATTTTTGGAAATGGGACAAACACCCCTGTTACGCCCAGTTGGCTTTTATTAATTACTTAATCTCAATTAATGAGCTTGATTTATTAATCCCGTGTATTGCGTTTCGCTCAAGATTCACACTTGGGCTATGGTCGCAGTCCATAGTACCATCAATAGAATTTTTAATGTAGTTTATGAATATTTCAATTTTCAATTTCTAATTCTTATTTAAAAAGTGTCAAGGATATGTTTGTTTTATCATCAATCAAATCGTAAAATTCGTGACTTAATTCTTATCTTGTGACCGCAGAGAGTATAATTCTGCCATTGTTTTAAGTAATACCCTCTGTCCCATTGGACTTTGTCAACTTCCTTTTTTTGTTTGTCCTGAAAAACTTTGACACTTTCTTTTTCAAGTAATGGATATGTGGTTTAGTTTATTTCTCCTCCTTTTACACAAATTTCAACCACACGGGTTTTTATTTATTTTTTATTTGTTAGCCAACTCAAAGTAGCCAATATCCTCTGCGACCGATGTAGTACTCTCTCTTTCCCTTAAAACTTGGCCGAGTTTGTTTGACACGAGGATTAATAAATTAAAAACAATGTGTTTGAGATTTGTGTTGAAAAAGGAGAATTAACTGAACCACAAAAAAACTTTACTTGAAAAGGAAAGTGGAAAAGTTAGTTGGATAACTAAAAAGGGAAAGTTGGCAAAGTTTTAAGCAACAGAGGGAGTATGTTATAAGGTGATTTATTTCCCAAAATTTTTTAGGGAAAAAGACCAAATAAGCTCTTGTACTATTTCTAATCCATCATTTAATTAAGCCCTTCTACTAAAAAAGTATCATATAAGTACACTTACTTTAATAAATTAAATAATTTGATCGTTTATTTAGTTTTTGACCTGTAATAGCAAGTTTCATATGTTGAAAAGCTCTAAAAAATTGTTAAAATTTGAAAAAATATACATAAAAATTGTGAAAAATCTCAAAATGTCAAAGTCAATGTTTTTAAAATTTTGAAATTTGTCAAAGTCAATGTTTTTAAAATTTTGAAATTATTTGTATATGCTACATCTATTTAAAAGGTTTTTAGATTTTATATTTTAATCCGTATATTTTTACATTTTATTTTTATTTTTTCAGTTTTCTGACTTTCTTTAACATTTTAAAACTATTTATCTATTTTCACATTTATGCTATATTTTATTGGAAAACCCCCATTAATATTACTCTTTAAAATGTGATGGACAAAAATATTACTTAATAACAATTAGTGACTATAATTACGTTAAAATTTACATCGTAGTAATTACATGTAAGTTACTATGATGTTAACTTAGAGCACAATTGCAGTCACTAATAGTTTGATAGATAGTTTATATCGGGATACCGTTAGTGGTATCAGAGAAGGCAGAGCGAATAAGAAGGAGAGGGAGAGAGAGAGCAATAATATTAAATTAACAGTCGTCCGTTACAACTGCCCAAGGGCTGCTATTTATACTAGTCATAAATGCTAGGTGCATTAAATACACATACATGTGTAAGCTAATCTATGGCGGAGAGCCTCCATGTGGTGGGGATGTTGGCACGTGGCGACCAATTAAATGCAGTGGTTGGCACTGAGAAACGTTGGACAGTAAGAGAGGTGTTTGTGCTGAGACCAAGGCCTTCGGCATCGGTGCCAAAGGCTGTTGCCCGATGGCTTGCTCGAGCAAGCGAATGTTCCAGACCTGTCGTTGAGCCGAATCTGGGTGATTTTCGGAGTTTGGTGCCTTTGGGGTTGGGCCTGAAGGATGTTCCTTGCAAGGATCTACCTGTCTTGTATCTGGGCCGTGGTGTCTCGGCCGCTAGCGGCTGTTAGGCCTGTTTGCTGTA